CTTATTCTGGGCCCATCCTGTCTATATTAAGTTCTTTGTAAATTCTTGCCCAACTAAGGGCCTCCTTGTAATTATTCAAATATATCTTAATCAAAATAGTGTTAGGGTGCTGAGAGAGAGTAGGTTCGAAACTCTCATTCTCAGACCCTCATTGCCGAACTCTCAAGCTCTCCTCTCTTCAGTTTTCTTCAATTACTAGTATGCCCCTACTTGGCCGCCCAAATACAAATATATGTAATAGACAACGATACCCTTTCACATAAACATTCTCAACAAGTTTAAAGAATATGGATTGCATACTACAACTCTAATGCCATAGAATATGGTTTACATTAAAGTATATGAAACATGCATTACATGTTCTCACCATTCTGAGCTTTCTTAGTTCTCTTCTGGCAGTTCTTTCCCTCCATCGGCACTGGAAAACAATTGAAGCCCATCTGATCCTCTTGTAGCATGAAGAAGTTTTCTGACGGCGCCAATAGGTCTGATTTTTATTTTCAAGTAAAAAGATGTTATTAGCATCACAGTGAACAACAATATGGGCTTTCAAGTTATGTGTATTGAAATGCAACCTGAATAGTTATTGCAGCTTTAATTCGCTTCCTCAATTTAAATTCCTTGCGAGAAAACATTCCCCTTAAGCGTGTCTGCAAGACAAGAACTGATACACGGACATTTACGTAAGATTTCCTTGATATATGTCTTCGCATATTCTTTTGGATTTTTACAGAAGCTGCCTCCCTTCTCATTTGCTCAAAAAGCTTGCAAGCCAGTCTTCCTGCACGTCACATTGCAAGCATGTGAAAATTTAATTGAGAAATAAGAAAATTATTTGCAAATTTCATGCAGTCGATCAATGCCTAGTTTATGACACGAAATATTAATAACAGTGGACTGAGCAGATAAACCAGAACCACTTTTTGGATAAGTGAAGCAGCTGAAAAATTCAGCAAGATTTCCAAAATAATCATTGAAATGAAGTAAATGTCCTTCCAAAAACTTGTTTCAAAATAACTCACCTCTACAGAAAGACTGCAAATAGATAGCAGCCTTCTGTATTGCAATATACTGTTTCTGAGTAATATGTCTTCGTGCTTGTCGCTGAATAGTTTTGGCTGCACAACTAAGTACCTCAACTCTACGTGCATCTAACTCAGCCATCTGACCAGATCTTAGAAAGACCTTGGTTTTTCCTAACTGCATGCAAACATTTGGAGACCCTTCAAACTTTTATAAACATCATATTATCCAAAAGATGTACTATCTTGAAGTATTTGAAGAAAGAAAAAGCATACAATTGCAACTCATACAACAATTGGATTGGCTTTCCTAAAAGAATAAATGCAGTACGCATGATGCTGTATGATAATTATTGTAGGATTTAACCATTGGGGTTTTTCTTAAGCAGAAAAAACAGTCATAATACCTGAAACCCAGTAAGCCCCTGCTTTTCCAGAATCATTCTGCATGCATCCTTCTCCTCATGGCTGTTCAAGAACAAAAGTAACATGTAACAAAGTTCACAAAATCCATTGGTTGATTTTAAAAAATGAAAATCTAAAAAGTGGATACTTACTCCCTTTTCTTAACATCTGGTGCAAGAGAACCAAATCGCTGTAGAAATTCAACATATGTACGACGAGTAGGATACCCTGCACAACTGATTCTGATTGCCTCTAGAACACCCTACAAAGACAATAAAACATACACTGAGCTCATTTACAAAAAGTTACTATCTGCCTCTAAAGTCTAAACCAACTGTAGAAAACTCTTGATTTCAATTTGTACTTACACCACAACGTAACTGTTGCAGGATATTGAAATTCTCAAATATGGCAGGTTGCAAAAGGTTGTTTGGCTTTACACATCTAATATAATGAGGTTCTGTTGAATTTAGTGTATCCATCAACTGCTGTAGTTGCAACTGCATCATTCAAAAGATAATATGTTCATACAATGTTTTTCACCCTGTGCAAGGGACCGCACCTAAGTAGATACATGTTTTAATTTCTCATTAAAAATTATGCACTTTACATTAAGTTCTCCTATCAATTCAACAGAAGTGATACCTTAAAACGTGATCCAATGGATGAGAACTTGGAAGGTTTGGCTGTCTCCTCAGGAAGGTGAGGGAATAAGCCTGATACAAAAGAACATTTGGAAGCACTCAACAAGTCCTGATGCTCAGCAACCACATAGTCCTTGTTTTTGTCTAGAAATTGGTCACATTGATATAAGACCTGAGGAAACATACAAATAGGTTATCTATAAAAAAACAGAAGCTCACATCAAACACTTGAAACTCCAGAAATCAAATTCACCTCTCCTGCATAATGAGCAATTGCAAATTCTGTACGGGATAGTTTTGGCTTGATAAAACGTTTGTGAGATTTGAATGTCTGATAGAGCTTCTCTGCAAATGTTTCATGTGTTGACTTTGGAAACATGCTGAAAATAGCACAAGTTCAACATATGAGAAGATGGAAAAATCATTTATTTGACTTTACAAAAAACAACCTTAGATCCAGTAACTCCCTTCATAGTTTCATGAGACCTATTTTCTAAGGAAAAAAAAAATAATGAGAGCCAATATCAACCATCCTGAAAATGTAAAAAAAGAAAAAGAGAAAAAAGACATAATCATACCAAGCTTCATCGAGGAGAGCAATGATTCCTCCTGGTTTCTGGCAAAAGAATACATGATAAGAGGTTTGTGCAGGAAACAGCATCCAACTTTAGATGCTTGCAGCTATAATGTACAAACTAGAAAAAGAAATGAAAAAAGTATTCAAAAGTTTATTTAGGAATGAAATATATTGACACATGAATTTAGAATGACGCCATCACTGTCCATTGAAACAAAACCAGGACCCCACATTTTTATCAAAAACAGGAAATTTGTAAGGGAGTTCCAGATACTAAAATCATCATGAGCCTCCCTGTAAAGACAATATTCAGTTATAAGCATCATCATAACATTAGGCCATGGGTTGCAAACTTCACAAATCAAATCAAATTCTAGGAAATTAATCGAGCAAAAGTTTCCCAAGGCCTATTAGACCTAAGGAGCATTTCATTGGTTAAATGTTAATCTCTACAGTTTGATTTGAAGAGAAAAGAAACTCAGAAAAACAGAGCCAAATTATGAGATAACTTACAAAGAGTTATTTGTCTAAAAAATGGATGAATTTAAAAATGTTTTTAGTATACACTGAATTTGATTTTTACATTAAAATTTGATGGAATGTTAATCTCTACAGTTTGATTTGAAAAGAAAAGAAACTCAGAAAAACATTGCCAAATTATGCGATAACTTACAAAGTTAATTGCCTAAAGTTGGATGAATTTAAAAATGTTTTTAGTATACACTGAACTTGATTTTTAAATTAAAATTTGATGGAACCTAAAATAATGTGTTTTTGCCTATTGTATTAGAAAAACATATGGAGATATTTATGCACACAACATAAGCTTCATTTCTTTCCAAAGTAGAAGTAACAAAAGTGAAGACAAGAAATAGAACCTTTTCAATAAGATCCAAGACATCTTGGTTATCAACAAATTCTATGTAACTCCAATCAATTTGCTCCTTTGTGTACTCTTCCTGTTGCATCTTGAATACATGCTGAAAGACATCGTGGACACTATTACGTTAAAAGAAATACTAAATAAAAGTTGGAGTCGCTAGACATTGTCTGTTAATTTACTTGGTTGAAATGTTGTTGCAGCTTCTCATTTGTGAAATTAATACAAAACTGCTCAAAACTGCAAAACACGAAAGGTGAAAGTAACATCAAGAAAACTGAGCAAGACAATAAAGATTGCTACATGAAATATCTCCTTTATTTCATTACCATTTTTCTTTCATGTTTTAGTAGCAGGTCTACCTGTTACTCTGAAAGCTTTCAAAACCGTAGATGTCAAGCACTCCAATCAGAGATGTTGAGTGAGGATCTTGCCCAATTGAGACATTAATTTTATCCACCAACCTGGATATAGTTATGCAGCATTAGCATTATCTATGCATCTTTGTAGTTTTCGTTCACTCGAAGGCATTACAAACCATAATACACATAAGTGGTGGAAACCATCATACCAGTCAAACAAGCGGGAATATATTGTCTTTGCTAAGCCATCCCTACTGACAGCTGCACCATGTGGATCAAGACTTTTTTTAATTACATCATCTGGTGTTATCATCACACGCTTCAACAGTGCATCTTCCAAGGACTGAATATCACACCTGGCACAATGATTTCAATAACTGTTACCCTTAACCATAAAATTGGATGATGCATATCAAAATACAAAAGCAATCATGCAACACCAGTCATACATGAGAAGTTCTGCTGTCATTTGGAGATGGAACTTGGCATTATCATCTTTTAGAACTGATGAATCATTTTCCTGTGCCTTGGCAAAATCAATATTACCAAGATGAAGAATCGCAGCAACAACTCTAAAAATTGCATCCTGACAGAGGCACACACAAACAGTAGTTCAGCAAAGCAATGGCTTTTTCCAGTGTTAAGACATAAAGCAGTTGAAATTATGCAGAGAGTTCCAAAGAAAAGTTAATATACTTGTTCTTTATCACATATTCCAATGATATTCATAGCTCTCCGAGTGGCAAGATAGTCACGGGCCTCACTTACACCATCCAGTTGAAAGCAATTTGATTGGTTGAGATAGTGAAATGATTTAGGGTCTCCCAATTTATATTTCTCAGTAACCTGGTAAAGTTTGAAAGACAATCAGGATCATGTAATTAAAGTTTATGCAATCTAAATCAAGGGGACAAAATTGAAGATCAGTATAAAAGCTATAATGCCAACAAGAAGATACCTCAGATGGTGCTGCACAAAGAAGGTAAAAACAGTGGTAGTTACGCTCGGGATCAGAAATCTGGCAAACACGGGATCTCTCAAGAAGGTATGTTCTGATGGCTGCACCTGATATCCTTCCATGCTCATCAAATTGAATCTCAACAAATTTACCAAATCGGCTGAACCAGTACATTCAAGAGAATATAACAAGGGTGATAAGTAAATAAACTTCAGAAATTGTCCAGTTCTGATGTGTATAATGAATTAGAGATAGGTTAAGACATTAAAATCATGACACCATAAATAGAGAAAAAGAAAAGTCAAGAAAGAAGTGTCATTGTGAAGTTTCCTTGTTAGACCTTTAAGCCAATAATTTCACAGTCCCATTATCCTATCTGTTGACAAATGAGAAAGCATAATGTCAACATTGTTAAACTGTTCAAAAATATGATGGAACTCTTTGTAAACCTCCATGAACCCTACAAATCCTGAGAAGGTCAAAAATATAATTGGATGCATCTCTGAACATTAGTAGCTGTTTTACATCGACTCTACAAGAAAGGCAGTGTCTGAGACCTATCAATAGTCAAACTTCCACATTCAAGTTTTAAAGGCAAACAGGGCAAAGGCCACAATAACCATTATGGTTTACCTCCTTACAGTTTCTATCTTACCTGGAATTGTTATTTCTAACAGTTTTGGCATTGCCAAATGCTTCAAGAACTGGATTTGACTGCAATTACATTAGATGGTACAAAAGCTTCAGATTGATATAAAATTATAGATATCATTGTAGTCCAGAACGAGAGTATCATCCATCTTACTTCTAAAACTTGTTGTTCAACAGTCCTCCTTTCTGTGGCCACACGGCCACCCAGATAAGCAAGGTAGCGCATAAGCATTTTTGTAGTCTCAGTTTTACCAGCTCCACTTTCACCACTAACCAGAATGGAGTTACTTTTCCCCTCATTAATCATTGCCCTGTTTCCAATTAAAATAGTTCTACAAGTTACCTATATCCATTCTTGATGAATTCAACATTTTCCGTACAGTAACATATTCACCTATATGCAACATCTGCAACCGCAAAAACATGAGGGCTTAGGTCTCCAAATGGTGCTCCATTGTATCGTTCCATCACTTGAGCATCATACAGATCAGGCAACCGTTGGAATGGATTAACAGCAATAAGAATGTTTCCAGTATAAGTCTGCCATAATATAAAATATTAGGACCCATGGCAGAATGCACACTAGTTTAGAATGATAAAGGGGGGAGAGAGAGAGAGAGAGAGCACATAGATTTCATTGATCCCATATCTAGATGACAAGTTATGCAGAACTCCAGGCTCATGCAAATAGGATAATTTTGTCATATCATCAACTCCACCACCAGAACTGTCCGTATCCTTTGGAAATATTTTTGATAACTTTGTAACAACCTGTACAATATCAAAAGTTGAATAAATGGTATGATGCTGCAGCAAAGGTAACAGTCACGACAACCATGATTTAGTTTTGAAGTTGTAACAATTAACTTATAAATTCCAGGTCAGATGTCATGTTCTAATTTCTTATTTAACTGGTACTGAGTTTGACTATTGAGATATAAGAGGGAACAAGAAGACTTTAAATTAAAAGTAACAAAAAGAAGTTATTTGTTCTTCACAGAGAAGAAGAAAAAGAAAACAAAGTTCTGTGCTGATATAATATAGAAATCACACCATTCCCTGACTATACAGAAAAAAGGCATCAGATTGAGAGGTGAAAAGCAGCTGAACCTCAGAAGCCAAACAAAGACCTCTGACAAATAATGAAAAACTTCAGTGACATGAACAAACTAAAAATATAAGCACAAATATTGCCAACAAGACTTGAGTGACAATTGGAAAAGCTATTCAATGTTTTGAAATTGGCAATCACATCGTAAACCATAGAGAAGGGGCCATTACTTCGTGCAATGGTAAAATCTCAGGCTGGCAAGTGCAAAAACACAGGTTCAAGTCTGAGAGCAGCTACTTTGTGAAAAATATGCCAAAGGTTAGGAGCCTATCCAGTCTATCCTCCCATGACTCCAGATAGTTGGGACCAACATTGGGCAATGGCCTTCATCATAAATCATGGAGAATTTTATTAAAGGGAAATTTTATATAGAAAAGAAAAAGCTTACAATCTGGAGGTTACAGGGGTATATTTGTAATGCTGATAAGTTTTGGGGACTTGTATGTATTTATGGGAGGAAGAGGGACCTGTGTGAAATTCTGGTATAATTTGGCCTTTTGCTTATTTAAGCCATTGGTTTTGTGGGATTAAGGTTGAGTGAGAGTGGATATTTTGTTGTGAGTCTAAGAGGTCAGCCATGTACCTCTTATTCTTGTAGTGGATATTTTTCCCTCTCTTCCCATGGATGTAGGCTACCGAGCTGAACCACATTAAATATTAGTGTTTTCTCTATTTCTTCTTCTTATTTTCTTCTTTTGTTTTATTTTTATTTTTTGATAATTTAAGAGTCATGTTCCATTAATTCAAAGATCAGTTACATGAAAATCCCCTTAGAGAGGCGTGAGGTGCTGCCTCTCCACACAGAAAACACAAAAACTACATCAAAAAATGCATGACTGTTACAAAAGACACAAATTACAGTTGCCCCGAGAACAATGTTTCCCTGTTTGTCCCTTGTTTTGCCAAGACATCATCAGCAAATGCATTAGCTGATCTCCCAACCCATTGTACTATTACAGACATATTCCTTGTCAGCCATTTGAATTTCTTTATCTCATTCTTGTAATCCCACGTGACATTCTCCGGATTATTTAACCAGTTCACCACTGTCTTAGAGTCCCCTTCAACCAGAAGCTGCTCCAAACCCATTTCTTTTGCAAGAATCATTCCTTGTATTGCAGCTAACAGCTCTACCCTAATATAGTTACCAACACCTAAAGGACCAGAGTATAGTAAGACAGCCTCTCCAGCCTCATTCCTCAGTACACCTCCCAAACCAGAGGGACCCGGGTTGCCCTGGCTACTTCCATCAAAATTCAGCTTCAAAGAACTGTGAGGAGGGGGGACCCAGCTTTTCGTTACCTTTATCTTTGAGGAGGAACAACTTGCTACTGATAACCAATCCCTCCAACAGTCAGTAAAGGAGAAATGATCAAACAAATCCAGAGTCTTTAACCAATGTATTGCCCTACACAAAATGCAGTCCTTCGAGGCCTGACCACTTCTCCCCTTCTCTTGGAAGATTTTGGCATTCCTTTCTTCCCAAACTGTCCATAACAAGGCTGCTCGTGCACACCTCCACATTTTCCTTCCTCTTTTGTGGGGCCAATAGAACATAGAAGGGTTAAAGATTGTACTTACTTATGTTGGCATATCCCATCTACACCCAAACAAATATAGAAGCCAAACCCAGAGCTCTATAGTGACACAAGATAATAAGTGATAACAGTTCTCACCATGAGATCTGCAAAGAGTGCACCAGTTTGGAGAAATACATAGGAAGGATCTTCTCTTTTGTAGATTATCTATCGTGCTTACTTTACCATGCCACACTTCCCAACACAAAGCCATAACCTTGGGGGGAACCAGTTTACACCAGACTTATTTGGAAGGGAAACTTTGTTGAGAGGAGGTGTAGCACAGGAAGTTAAAAAAGGAACCACGAGAAAAAGACCCATTAGGGTGAATGGCCTAAATCCTCTTATCAGGCTTCAAAGGATCCAACCAAACCTCATCGAGGAGACCAAGAAGAGCAGACAAACAATCAATTTCGTCCTCCCTTAACCCTCTATGGAAACCAAAGTCCCAAGACAAAGACAAATTTAAAACTGAAGGAAGGAATTTTGAAATCACCTCTTTTTTATACAAAGAAATAGAGTACAAGGACGGAAAAAGGTCTTTTAGGGGATGATCTCCCACCCAAATGTCCTTCCAAAACCAAATAGAGTTACCAGAACAAGCATCATACCTTATACAACTTAGGAATTGCGGAAGAATTTTGTGAATTGCTTTCCAAGGTGCTGCTAGGTTAGCCCTCCTTGAAGCACCAGCATCCCATCCACTCTCTAAGAATCCATGAATACTCTTCACCACCTCATGCCACAAGCTATCTTGCTCCACAGGCCACCTCTACAACCACTTCCCTAACAAGGCTGAATTCTTCTTAAGCACATTTCCAAGCCCTAATCTTCCTTCCTCTTTGGTTCTACCCACAACCTTCCAACTGATTAAGTGGTCTTTTTTACCTTCTCCCGGTTCCCAAAGAAAATCTCTCATTAATTTTTCTAGTTTCTTCACTTCCCTAGATGGTATCCTAAAGACAAAGAGGTGGTAAGGAGGTAGGTTCGCAAGGGTAGCTCTTATCAAGGTGATCCTCCTACCCAAAGAGATGTAATTTTCTTCCACACAGCTAATCTCTTTTCAAACTTCTCTATAAATGGGGTCCAAAACCTACTCTCCCTAGGGTTTGCCCCTAACGGCAGCCCTAAATAGGACAAAGGCCAAGTAGAAATGAAGCATTGAAGACAATTTGCAATAGCTTCAACCTCCTAAAAGTCCAGACTGATTCCAGCAATGCAGCTCTTTTCTAAATTGATTTTCAAATTGGACACTCCTTCAAAGGCTTATCAATTCTTTCAAGTTTCCCACCTTCTCACTAAAACCACCACCACAGCTCTTTTCTTCTTATGTTATTCTATTTTATGTTAGTTGACATTGTATTTGAGCAGGTTCTCTATAATCTGTATTTGCTCCATGCTCACTCGCGAATCTCTCATGGGCTGCAGATTTCTGGGTGCATTGACTGAGGATAGGGTTATATTGATCAACCCTAACCCTAGGTCACTCTGTTCTGCAATTTCAGCAAGAGAAATCCTCTTAGAACTCTCTTGGAAGGCTTCTGCTCGAAGGGTGGGAGCAGGTTTCTTCTTCCTGCTTTGGAGGAGTTCTGATATTAGACAAGCTTTGGAGGTTTGGAGGAGTTCTGATCTTCTCTCTAGGATGGGAGCAGGTTTCTTCTTCCTTCTTTGGACTATTTCATTCCCAAGTACTCATGCAAGCTTCAAGCACTCCATTTCTGCCTGCTATTACTCCGGATTGAGGAGTTTGCAATCAGTCCTGGAGGGTATTTAATCCTCTCCTCAGCTCAACAGTCCTGAAACACTTGGGTTTGAACTGTCAAAACAGCATACAACCTGGTTTGTGTTGTTCTGGGTAATTTCTTGAAGGATTTTGATTCCTCAATAGGGTGGCTTATCTCTGCTACTTGTCCAACTGAAGTTATTTGATCATATATATCTTCTGGACCAGATTTAATTGCTGTTTATCCGCATTGCTTACTTCAGCCTTGCTGTTAAGGTCTGTTTTTTTTTTTGTTTTTTGATAAAGTTCTGTTTTTGGTTGCTGTAATACTACTTTCAGTATTACCAAATACTGGTTGTTTACTAAATACATGTTTTGCATGGAAGATGTTTGACAAAATGTTTCAGCAATGATCCTTATCAGCTCTAACTTAATGTTGAAGAAATCCTTGGAGTTTTAATCTCCTTTAGTGACATGGGATTTTGATTCGCTTTATCTAGTTGGCTTTCCAATTGGCCAACTCTGATTCCTCAATTTGGTTTATGGAGTTCATAGTTGGCTTTCCATTGATCAACTCTTAATCTTTGCTCTAGTTTATGGAGCTCAGAATTGTTGGCTTTCCGCTAGACAACTTTGTTTTGGTAATTCTATTGGCATTTCTGAAGATCTAGTTGTTTGACATGGTTGGTTCTTCAATTCAGAGATTGTGATTGGCCTTTTAAAGGCTAAATTTGATTCTTTGGCATGATATGTGTTGGCTTTCCGTTGGCCAACTTCAGTTTGGTGATTACTAGAACATGACTTCGCTCTACTCTGGCTTTACGACACAAATATTCAGCTTTCTAACATCCAACTTTGGTTTTTAAGAGACCCCTTCAACATCTCAAGTTTCATGGTGGTTGCTTCAACATCCTTCTTGCAAACTCAAGTTGGTTTCCCCACCTTGAGTTTGAGGGTGGGTGCCGAGAGATATATTGTATTTGGTTGTATATGGGTTTTCGGAGGTTATAGGGGTATATTTGTAATGCTGATAAGTTTTGGGGACTTGTACATATTTATAGGAGGAAGAGGGACCTATGTGAAATTCTGGTATAATTTGGCCTTTTGCTTATTTAAGCCATTGATTGAATGGGATTAGGGTTGAGTGAGAATGGATATTTTGTTGTGAGTCTAAGAGGTCAGCCATGTATCTCTTGTTCTCATAGTGGATATTTTTCCCTCTCTTCCTGTGGATGTAGGCTACTGAGCCGAACCACATTAAATCTTGGTGTTTTCTCTATTTCTTCTTCTTATTTTCTTCCTGGTTTGTTATTCAATTTTATGTTAGTTGATAGGTAACACCACGAAACACACTAATCAGCAAATAAACTATCAAAATTACTATAATTCAACTGCTTCGCAAAAATTTTCACCCATATATGTACTTAATACAATGGAGTTTACCACTTCTATGCAAAAAGCATAGTATGACATAATCAAGTTTAACTTGAAAGTCAACTAACCCACATATATTGGCTTTCTAATCCACATATGATGTAAAATAAACTTAATAAGGTTTAAATAGGTCTTAAGTACAGATTTTAAAATAAATCCCCATGAAAAGCACCAAAACAAACAAAGGATTGACAAAGTGAAGAAACAGGTCCTAATTGAATTAATTCAAATTGCAAAAATCATAAGATTCGCAAATTGAATGTAAAGTTCAAACGGTGAAAGTAATTTTCAAAAAAAAAGGTTCATACAATATTTGAATTGGAACCCACGGGATTCACAATTTGGTGAAGACATCGATGTTTTATCTTGTTAATAGAGTAGCCTTCGATGTTCAGGCCTCCAAATATGGCAAGTATATATCTTAAACTTTTTTTTTCTTTTGAAATTAAGAAATCCATTGGATATTTATTTTTCATGGGAAGAATTCAAATAATATTAACTTATTGTCACTAAGGCTCTACTTACTGTTTTTTCATTACTTGTCCTGATTTCAGCATCTTCACCATCAATTTTTAATACTTCTCCATCAACCCAAGCTATTTCTGGGTCTTCAACCCATACAGAAGAACCTACAACAATGTTCACTATACTTTCCTGCAGCAATTAAGAATTTTTGCAGACAAATATCAGTATATAAAATTGGTAGGTGAACATACATGAATACATACAATAGACACAATGGCACATACATAAATCTGTGTTGTGTTGTGTGTATTTTGATGCCTGAACTCGTACAAACTGACAGAATAAAGTTAATATGTATATAGAAATTTCAACTCAAATATATGCATAAATGAGAATACAGAAAGTTTAATTTCCCATTAAGTTGAAACTGAAATTCACAAAATTTGGGTCCCAATTTTAGCAAGAATCAAGTGGTCAAAGATATCCTAACTCATCATGTTATAAATTTCAAAAAATAATAATTTACTAGCACGACTTATCATCATCAAGTATGCAGTACCAATCTGATCAGGTTCATTTAGGCTGTGTTTGGTTTGAAAGAAAAGGTAGGGAAACGAAGGTAAACTTATACAAGGCTCGTTTCCTACTTTCCCTACCTTTTCTTTCAAACCAAACACAGCCTTAGTGTTTCCCTTCTACCAAAAACAAAGGAAAAGCATTTTGCACAACTGGGATCCCTTAAATAATACCAATTGCATTCAAAACTTCTGTTCTATGATCTTTCCCTTCCCTTCCATTCAAGTCATCCACTATTGTATTTCCTCTATCTTTTACTAATGTATTCACCCATGACTCTCTCATCTCTAGTTTATTTAATGTCTATATATTTTAATATCTGGTGACACCAATTCTACTTTCCACAATTTCTTGTAGAAAGATTGGGAAGAATGGGCCTTAGTTTTCTTTGGTTTAAATAGCTTTATTTCTACTGTTAGTTTTGTTGTAGTGGGCCTTCTTTATGGGTCTGCTTTTTTCTTGTTTGTGCTTTAAGTCAGCCGCCCAACTAAAGGTACACTTGTAACTTTACACATATTTTTATTTCAGCATATATAAATCAAATCAGAGAGACAAAGCAGAGAGATCGAACTACTCTCTTCCTCTTCTCTTCTCTTCTCTTCCTCTTCTCTTCTCTTCTCTTCCATTCTCTCATCTTCTTCCTAAAGCTTCTGCTGAAACACTTCTTTCCTTCTCTTTCTACTTTTATTTTATTTTCTGAATTAGGGTAAATTTCTTATGACTAAGTGTACCCTTACTTTTGAAAATTGACTGATGCTACCCTTACTGTTTCTGCCAATTGACTAACTCTATTCTTACCGTTAACCTCCATCAAAAACAATGCAAAATGCCTAAACTACCCTTCGGAGTTCAGATGCTGTTGCTGCTGGGTGGAGTTACAGAGCAGCGTGTGGAGTTACAGGGCAGTGCCGCCGCCGTCGCCCAGGAAGAAGATAAAGAGATCAGACTTCAGATGTGTCATCTCCCAGAGGAAGAATGAAAAGGATGAAATGTCCGCCTTTAATTTAAAAGAAAAACTCCTTCCCTAACCTCTTCTCCCCTCTTTTGAATGTTAAATATTGAACCGGCCGGAGTTTGCATAGATAAATTTGAGTCTGAGATCTAGAGTGGCATGAGTCTTTGCGATGTGTAGATCGGCTAAATAAGTTTTGAGTCTGAAATTTCCAGCGATGTACAGCATGAGTCAGATCTCTAGAGTGGAGGTTGAGATCTGGACAGTATCTGTTGCGATGTGTAGCATGAGTCTAAGTTTGAGATCTGTTGTATCAGATTCATGCCACTCTGAAGGTCTGAGATCTCTGGTCAGATATAGACCAACTAAGTTGGTGGTGGCGTTGTTTCAGAGTTGAAGAGGATTGAAGTTTTGGAGCAGGAAAAGTCTGGGTTGCTGCATGATAAGGGGGAGAACAATGAGAAAATCAAGCTTCTCATGGAGGAGATTGGATGATTCAAGAAAAATCATGGGTTCTGCTTCCAAGGATGCATCAACAGAGGAAAATGTGTTCAGGGTGTTACATGGACAACAAGTTCTACGTGATCAGAGGGCAAAACGAAAGAGAAGTTGATCTCACCTATGGTGAGTTCTATGATGCAGATAGGAACACATGGGAGCTAGTTCCAGACATGTTGAAGGATGCCCCTGTTTCAACATTGCGATCTCCACCCCTTGTTGCTGTTGTGAACAACAAACTCTACTCGCTCGAAGCTTCATGAAACCATCTGAAGCTGTACTTGAAGAAGAGCAACTCATGGAAGGATTTGGGGATGGTTCATGTGAGAGCCGATCAGAAAAGGGCACTTTGAGCATTAAATTTTTAGTTAACCAAAATAATGGTATAAAGACGGTTGTAAAATCAGAGAGCTATCAGAACCCTGTAAACCTTATGGTTTAGCTTTGGCTTCCCCCGCGTCCGCTTCAGGTGCTAAATCCAAATCACTGTTGGTTCGTTTTGAGTTTTAGAACAGAGAAGACCTCTTCTCTGTTCTCTTTGACATCACTGTCATTACAGCAGCAACTGGCGTTGGCCAGATCTCACGGTAGCTTATTCCCACCAAACAATGGTGCCCCTCTTGTTCTCTTCTCCGGAACCGCCGCAACTGCACAGGTCTATCTCCTCAGGCATCGTTTCCTCTGAGAATCCTCATATTATTGATGAAAAAGAAGGGGAGAGAGAAAGAGGGGGAGAGAGGTGAAGGGTAAATTTGGGTTTTAAAAATATAAATATCATGTGCGAATGAGTTTTTGCGGAATATTAACAGAACTTAACGGTAAGGGTAGAGTTAGTCAATTGTTAGAGACAGTAGGGGTAGACTTAGTCAATTTTCAAACAGTAAGGGTACACTTAGTCAATTAGCTAAACCATAAGGGTAGTTTAAGAAATTTACCCTCTGAATTATTACAGGTGTGTTCTGCAACTTGGTATCAGAGCATGTTCCCACCTTCAACATCTTTTTTGGTCCGTACACAATGTATGGAGAACTGATTGGGTGATTAATTAGCAGCTTATGAAGCCCAGTTGGGAGGGTTTTTTGGAGAGGTTTTTGGAGATTTTCATCCTTAGTTGAAGCCCGAGACAGGCTCTTGAAGATTTTTTCTCGAAAACCCTAGACAACTAGAGAAACTTAGTTAAAAATTCTACAAACACTTTGAAGCTGGCGCTTGGGGATTAAAGGGAAGTTTTTTATTTCCTTTAAGATTGACGTAGGTTGGACAATGTTCTAGAACCTCTAGGAGTGGCTGCACTTTCTCTTCTTCTCTCATGCTGCTAGGTCATATAAAACCCTAGATTTGGGTGGTTGATGAGTAGTTTTTGCTTTGGGTTAGCAATTCTTGACTAGTAAAGCCCTAATTTAATTTTCGTTTGCTTTTGTTCAGTCGATGGAGCAAACTGGAGGAGAAACCAAATATCCCATAGATTCTGGTTTTGGACATGGAGGGTCTATGGATACCAATTATTTGGCCTAATCTCAGTTTATAAGGATACATTTGTGTAGTAGAGGGAAATGGGGTTACATCACCGGGAGCAAGAAGAAACCTATGGAGGATGATACTACCTATGAGAGGTGGATGTAGGAAAATTACACAACAGTAGATGGTTAGTAAGCTCCATGCAGCCACATGTTAGTCAGCACTACCTATTGATGGAAACTGGAAAGGAAGTGTGGGATAGTGTCACAGAGACCTATTCCCAAAAGTTGAATGTTGCTTGGGCCTACAAATTGAAAAATGATGTGAAAAACCTAAGACAGGGGGAGAAGCCCTTAGCCATCTACTTTTTTTTGCATCAATAACAAATTCATTAATTCATCATTAAAATAATTACAAAAAGGAAGACAAACACTCTTATCTTCCAAAAACAACCTGAGCCATCAAGAAGAAAAGAAAAAGGAAAGGAAGAAACAATAAAATTACAATTTGGCCCAAAACATTGAATCCCTTTCTACCCCGTGTTTAGCTAATCCATCAGCTAAAGAATTAGCTGATCTTTTAACCCAATTCATCTTTACTTCCATCTCCCACACCAGCCACTTAAATTTTCTCCTCTCACTGATATAATTCCATAAGCCACTGTTATCTTTATTCAGCCAACCTATCACCACCTCTGAGTCCCCTTCAATTATGAGTTTTTTGATATTCATCTCCTTAGCTTTCTAGATTCTTTCCATAACTGCAGAGATCTCAGCTCTAAGGGAGTCACCCACTCCAATTGGGCCTGAAAACAAGGCAGAAATGACCCCATTCTCATTCCTAAAGACACCCCCAATCCCTGACTGTCCAGGATTCCCCCTACTACTCCCATCAAAGTTTAGTTTTATGAATCCAGTCGGTGGGGGTTCCAAGGCACACTCATTACTGATTTGGCCTGTGTACAGTTTGCAATCTCACCCCACTTCCTCAACATGTCATCCACTATGTAATCTGTAAATAGTTCTAAGGATTTCAGCCACTGTACAGCCCTAATATGGATTATAGCCCTCAGTTCTTCAGCCCCTCTCTCAACTTTTGAGAAGATCTTGGAATTTCTTTCTTCCCATAATGACCAGCATACTGCAGCCCTCAGTCCTCTCCACATAGTCCTTCCACTTTTCATACGCCACCTAAAAAAAGAAGGGGAGAAAAGACACTGCATGTTTGACAAAGGGTTCCAGCTACACTCCAAAGAGGGAAAAGGCCCACTCCCAAATAGACTTTGCAAATTGGCAAGACACCAGTAAGTGGAAACCAGTCTCCCCCTCCACTTTGCAAAGAACACACCAATGAGGTGACAAGCAAGTATTGGGTCTCTTCTTTTGGAGCAGATCACCAGTGTTGATTCTTTCCAGATAGGTTTCTCAGCAAAAACTACCAACCCGGGGAGGAACTGGTCTGCACCAAGCCTCATTAACAGGGAAAGGGGGGTAACAGGACTGGTGGGTTGGCTTAAGACTTTAAAGAAGGAAGCACAAGAAAAAGAGCCAATGGGGGTAGGGGTCCAAATTCTAGAGTCCACCTTAGTGGGGTCTAAGAAGACATTGTCAAGAAGTTCAAGGAGGCTCGAAATATTGTCAAGGTCTGAGTCCCTCACAGCCCTTCTCAGACCCAGGTTCCATCTAGGCCCAGAATTGGAAGAGGA